AACCTAGGACCAGTACCCCACAGAACATGGTAGAGGAAAAATGGGTTCTGGCGTAGTACCTGATATGTGAGTCAGGTTGCGCTGTCGAGGTAGAAGTAACCAGTGACTGTAAGAGTCTTGAGATGATTACCTGTTGGACATTAGATTCGATATATGAACGTGTGATTAAACGTAGTGTTATGGCCAGATCGTGGCCCTAAAAAACAAGGAACCTACCCGACACTGCAGAGGGTAGATTTAAAGAAAATTGACAACGGTTTTCCGTGGTTGTAAAAGCTACCGTTTGAAGGCAAACAACCTAAAAGAGTAAACCACATGCTTAACTAATGTAATGTGTATCATTGGACTACATAAAATATATTTTAAACAATAACCAATCTATAAGAAAATTGATACCAATGACAGATTTCACAATTCCCAGTACGAACCACTGGGATGAATCTGTGGGGGAAACAAATTCAGGAAATCAGGCCCATCAACTTTGTTTAACAACATTCCTAATCAAAAAAAGATTTTACTGCAATAACATTTGTAACCAGTAGGGGCGAAATTCCCATGGAGTAGTGGCTGAATTCGTGTTTAATACGTGAGTTAGTGTAGCTGCCGAAAGAGCGATGTAGAGTATAGTAACAACCGAATAGATACACCATAATTTACATGCAAAACCAACCGATTGATGTTTAAGTATGATTTAACCGAATGATTCCGTTCGTTAGTTTGAACTGTGAAACATGCGAATAGCATTAAGACGAATGCAATAGTGATACAATAAAAACAAACCGAACGTAGATTTTAACCGAACGGGGCGCCGCCGTGTAAAGCAGGGGAATTGCAGCGGTTGCTTTATGGCGAGCCTGACTTACGGTTTTCGTGAAGAAGAAGTACCGAGCGAGCTGTGCGGACGCCGGCGGTGGTAAGGAGAGCCAGGGGAGCCCGGACCAGGAGACCACGAGGGAACAGGTAAGGAAAAATCCAAGATGGCGATCTGAACCGGAAGTAATGTTTCAGACTCGCCAGACCAGCAACGGTAAGGTGGGAGTGGATTGGGAGCCCCTTTTAAAGGTGAACCAAGCCAAATATAAGGCTTGCATTTCATTTTTTTCACATTGAAATTTGCCAGTTTTGTAATGTTGCCATTGAGAGCGTATGGTAGCTCAGGAATGAGAATTACCCCCATGATGGCATACCATTTGCAAAAGTAGGCAACCCAAGGTATTGCAAGTGGGGTATATCCAGTCTTTTTGTTTTTTAGTAGCCTATATGTGACAATTTAAAGCAGGGCCATCTTAACCTCTTGCCTGTGTCAATATTAGTTTGCATGTAAATTACTGTTGAATATCACCATTATGTAATTGTAAAGTGCTGAGGAAAATGTCAGAGCTGTAAATGCTAATAATAATATTAAAAGTGATAATAAAACTTTATTCAGGGAGAAGGTTAGCAGAACACTGAAAAGATGTCCTAGTATAAGTGGATAGGTTTTCACATAATTTGATAACCACTGCTAAACTAATTCATTTCAAAAAGTGGTGCTCTCATATTTTGCAAAGAATCCTAAAGGTGACAATGCCACTTTGGGTGCCATGACCTGAAGCTGTCCCTCATGGATGCTGACCGCTTCTTTTTTCAGCTCCCAACGCTTCTTCCATTCGCCATACCAATTCATACCACGGGCAACAAAGATAGGTGACAGTACCCAGCTGACGATCTTTGACAATCATTACTGCCTGTTGCTGGTGTGTGAAGCAGCAGAATGTAGCTGAGCTGCAGGCAGCCACATGCCCCTGTTCATCGTTAAACTGTTTAACACTAAATAGTGGGACAGTGCCAGGAGAGTCCAGGCACCAAAACCAATTCAATGAGATGAGGTGCTTATGGTTCCAAGAGTGGTCAGTTAAAGACTTCTGCACACTAGAGATTAGACACATGGCATGGCTCTAACACGGGGGATGGGGAGTCCCTTTATTTTGGCTTGGAAAGAAAGCATTGCTTCCAGCATGTGAGAATAAATAACTTCCAGCTCAATGGTCAAGCCCATCCTCCATGAGTGAGACTGTAGGTGGGCACAGCTGATAATACAGTAAATAGTAAGATGTGAGCCAGCTGGCTGGTAAACATTGCCAGGCAAGATGGGGGTAGACAACAATGGGATTTTTCATTAAATTAAGAATTGTAATTTATTGACAAAAGAATTAAGCATTTTCTCCAAAATAGCTGAACTTGAAAACAGCTAAGTTTTGAGAATGTCAACAGTTCAGATACATAGTCCTAATATTAGCTATCCCCCGTTACGTGAATACATCATCCTTCCTGGCTTAGTAAATAAACCTTCATACCTAAAGTAAACAGTCAATACATGCAGCATTATGAAAAAGTATGCGTAAAGTCAGCAGTGACTGGAGCTGAGTAGTTTTCCAGATTTGTGCTTAAATTATTTCATTTAATTTGACACAATATGGAGGTAATGCTTTATCGCCATGAAGTTACAATGTTCTTTAAAAATGGAAAATCCCTCAATTTGACCTGACATTGTTATCAAGTATTTACAAAAGGCATTGCAAAGTAAAATGTGGAAGTAAGGCTTTAATGTACAAATATAATTGATTCAAATTGATATCCACTTAAAAAAACTTCCTAAAAAAGTTGGAATTCTATAAAAACTGTTGGAATTTGTAAATTTTCAAATACTTTATTGGAGATGTTTTCTCACTTGCTTCTGAGTCCAATGTTATAGAAAAATGCAAAATCTGCATTACACGGTCAGTGGGTAGAGGGATTAAAAAGAGAAATGAAATAGCTCCACGTTCTGTGTATTATTTAGAGGTAGTCCCAAAAATCCCCTCTTCACTGAACCTGGGGTGGCAGTGTGATGGTTAATTTAAAAAAAGTATTATCTTGTTAGTTACTTTTTTTTAAATTAACTCTCCCATGCTATCCGTGGTCATAGCTGGATTTGCCGCAAGGTCACACCGAGACCACAACCTCAGGGCAGCAGGGCTGTGAGGCCAAAGCAGATAGGGGAGATTTCCCCTGATCTCTGTGGCAGGGATGGCGCTCCAATAGAAAGTGCCATAGTTGCCTGTACTGTATCAGAGTGTTGATGTGCATAACCACGGTAACTGGATCACATCAGCTGGAAGGATCATGATTCCCCCCTCTCTGTCCCAAGGTAAACCTCAGGCAGGTGGGAATAAGCTTTAAATATTTTTTCACTAGCACCTGCCCCTTACTACAGCCCCTACACCGTACTACAGCCCCATCTCCACACTACAATTTCTATCCCCCACTACAGCCCATATACTATCCCTATACCCCACAGCCAATGTCCCCTTACTATAGCCACTATTCCACCTAATACAACTCATATTCTTCCACTACAACCCTTCCACTATTCCCCTACTACATCTATCCATCTCTATAGATACTATCCCCTTAATATAGCCCTTTACCCCTATTATAACCACTATACCACTATCAGGGCCGGCCTTAGGGGTGTGCGAGCTGTGCGACCGCACAGGGCGCCATGGAACAGGGGGCGCCCTGTGGCCGACACAGCTCACTCATGGCCGGAGTGCAGGGGAGCTAAAAGAGATACCTGGCTGGAGGATTAATTATTCTCCACCCGGGTCTATTTAAAAAAAAAAAAAATCGCGGCAGAGGGGGCGGGGTTTACCGAGCGGCGGAGGCGGGGCTTATCGAGAGGCGGAGACGGGCTAATACCTCCCGAAGCCCCTGCTGTACAGGAAGAGGGAAAGATGCTTCCCCATCAGCCAACTGCATCCACTGGAAAGAGGTAAGTGTGTGTGTGTGACTGTTTGCCTGTTTGTGTGACTGTCTGTGTGTGTGACTGTCTGTGTGTGTGACTGTGTGTGTGACTGCCTGTGTGTGTGACTGCCCTGTGTGTGACTGCCTGTGTGTGTGACTGTCTGTATGTGTGACTGCCCTGTGTGTGACTGTCTGTGTGTGTGTGTGTGTGACTGTCTGTCTCTGTGTGTGTGTGTGACTGTCTCTGTGTGTGACTGTCTCTGTGTGTGACTGCCTGTGTGTGTGACTGTCTGTGTGTGTGACTGCCTGTGTGTGTGACTGCCTGTATGTGACTGCCTGCCTGTGTGTGTCTGTCTGTAACTATCTGTCTGTGTGTGACTGCCTGCCTGTGTGTGTGAGACTGTTCTATCTATGTGACTGTCTGTCTGTGTGTGTCGCTGTAGCTGTGCCATTGTTTGTGCCTGTGCCTGTATGTGTGACTGCCTTTAACTGAGTGTGTGTGTACATGCCTGTAACCGAGTTTAAATTTCCCCCACCCCTTCCTGTCAAGGCCGCACTTTGACTGACAGACGCTCACTCACTGACAGACGCACACTCACTGACAGACACACACTCTCATATACACTGACAAACAATGACATACACACATACACTATTACTTGGACACACACTGACAGATGCACACTCTCACTGACAGACGCAAGCACTCACTGAAAGATGCACGACTCCACTGACCGACACATACACACTGACTGACACACACTCACTGACCGACACACACTCACTGACCGACACATACACACTCACTGACGACACATACACACTCACTGACTGACACATATACACTTACTGACCAACACACACATTCATTCACTCACAGACACACACACATTCACTTACAGACACACACAATTACACACTTACAGACACACACACACATTCACTTCAAAATAAACACTCACAGACACACACACAGACATTTCCACTAACACTCACAAACTAATATTTTTTACATTTATTTTAAATCCACCCAGCCTCCCTGGGAAAGCTGGAGTGGATTTCTTACCAGCAGTCCAGTGTGGCTGCTGGGCAGGCAGGCAGGGGGCGCACAGGCTGAGTAAGCAGCGCTTAGTGATGCCGGGAGCCGGACTGACGTCATATTCTGGCTCCCGGCTTCATTAAGCGGCGCAGAGGAAGCTGAGCAGGAAGAGCTCAGGTGAGTATGCTCCTTCGCTGCCCGCTGCCAGCCTTGGGGGGGCTCAAAAGTGGCCAGCCGGTCAGCTCTTGAGCCCCCCAGGATGCGAGGCAAGCAAGGGATCTGCCTGGGGGTTTGGAGGGATGCTTTTTTTTGCCGCCCCCTGCAAAGTGGCGCCCAAGGCAGATGCCTTGTTTGCCTTGTGATACACACGTCCCCGGTGCCTGTGTGTGTTACTGTATTCAGGCAACTTGGTGGAAGGTGGGGGGGGGGCGCCGTGAAGACTTTTTGCACAGGGCGCCTAATTGCCTAAGGCCGGCCCTGACCACTATTCCCCCATTATAGCCACTATCCTTCCACTACAGCCTATATTCTTCCACTGCAATCCCTACACTGCCACTATAGCTCCTATCCCCACATTATAGACCCTATCCTACATCCTATCATACACTATAGGCACTGTCCAAAGCTACAGCCCCAAAGGCCGCACAACAAGCAGTCACCGCCATGCACACAATCCCACTAGCTACATACCCAAAAACATACAACACCACAATCAGCCTTCACACACATAAACACACACACACACTCTCTCCCTGCCCTGTCCCACTTATCATCCAAACATCCACCTAGTCACATTTACCATTCCGTCATAGCATAGATACATCCAACTGAATACTCCAAACTTTGGGTATGTGTGTGTATATGTTTATGTGTGTGTGTGTGTATGTATGTATGTGTGTATATATATATATATATATATATATATATAAATTATTGGGACACTTGACCATTACACCAACAGGGACTAAATACATAAACATTAATAGGAAGATGGTCCCCCCCCCCTTTGGAGCTATAACAGCCCCATACCATTGTCCCTCGTCCACCAAACTTTACAGTTGGCACAATGCAGTCAGGCAAGAACGTTCTCCTGGCATCCACGAAACCCAGACTCACCCATACAGAGAAGCGTGATTCATCACTCCACAGAACATGTTTCCATTGCTTCAGAGTCCGATGGAGACATGCTTTACACCACTTGATCTGACACTTGGCATTGTACTTAGTGATGTGAGGTGCATGCATCTGCTCGGCCATGGAAACCTGTTCCATGAAGCTCTCACTGCACAGTTTATGTGCTGATATTAATGCCAGTGGCAGTTTTGAACTCTTCAGCTATGGAATCAGCAGAGCGTTGACGACTTTTATGCTCCATGAGCCTCAGCACTTGATGACCCTGCTCTGAGACTTTACGTGCTTTTACGCTTCATGACTGAGCTAAAGCTGTTTCTAAACGCTTCCAGTTTCCAATAATACCACTTACAGTTGACCATGGAATATCTAGCAGGGATGAAATTTCACAAACCGACTTATTAAAATGGTGGCATCCTATCACAGTACCACACTTGAATTCACTGAGCTCTTTAGAACCACCCATTTTTTTCACAAATGTTTGTAAAATTAAAGGGTTACCCCAACCACCATGACCAATTCTGGTAGGAGTCAGGATGTCCAGTGTTTCTGCTTGAAACACTACACATCTGGATTTATATGCAATTGTGTGCCGAGGGCTAGTTATACCCCATGCGATAGGTCTGACCTGTCAAATGTCAATTCGATGCATATTTTACTGCTGTTGCCAGAGAGCAATAGTGACAGAGTCTCTTCTCTCTTTGCAGTTCTGTCTCCCTCACTCCTTAATGGCAGACCTCCCTCCTCCCTATCCCCTCTGCTATTTTTTTCTCCCACACTCCATCCTTCTCCATTCTCTATGAGAAGCCTTTAATTTGACCTCAGCGCAATTCCCAAGATGTTGGCAGAGGGTGTCCCAATTAAGTGAAGTAAAACTTATTTTAAAGCTTTTTTTTTTATTATTAATTTTTTTTTTTTAGATGGAGGACATAAAGAATATTATCAATAGGAATTATGTTAGTAAAATAGGAAAACCAACTCTTTTAACACATGTTTTTCTTTTCTTATCATTCTTAAACAGTTAAACATATGATGTTGATTTTAAAAGCTACACAATATTTTCTGCAGTAATTCGTCCCACCTCCTTCCTCCCGGTTCCTACACCAATGGTTGAGGGACCTCTTTTTTTTTTTAACTCTTGGTACAACATACTCCATACTGAGTTTATACAGGTGCACATTTACATAAGAATATAAAGTATGAGAATATGTAGAAACAAAAGACGTTCCCCGCTTCTTACCTCCCACTTTACAATTAAGGGACCTCTATTTAATTTAATTTATTCTTAACTTTGGGCTGTAAAACCTTTTCTGTTCTAGTAAAGCGGAATACTGGAAACATTACCGAAAGCTCAGTTTACATTATAGTCTGTTTCAAACTGTGTACACTAGCTATGCAAAAATAATCCCGTATCTTTGGGCATTAAACTATGAGATTAGTACAAGTTATACAGCTGGTATTAAAAATTGCAATCCCATTGTCAACTCTCCGATAGTAAACAACCCTTGAATGAGTTTTGCTAAGTGGACAGACATTGAAATATATGGTAAATATAATTGTGAATAGCCATACTGGGTAAACTTGCTGTGTTTTGTTAGGCAGTTAGAGCTTTAAAATGTAATGTTAAATTCACAACATTCAAACTTCAGTAAATAACCCCATATACAGGGCCTTTCAGAGAGAGGTGTATTTCACTCCAAAGTAGTTAAATTGTAGAAATTATTCTCCTTTTTTTTTCCTGCCCAAACATTTCCTATTACCTTGCAAATTCTCCCAAATTCTTAGTATAATGTCTGATTTATTATCTGTTTTAGCTGAGCTGCCTAGGATGCAATGAAGGCATTAAGACAAGGTAATATACCTTGCCATGGCAGCTCTGCACACACATCATATTATATTATGTGTACATTATACAGTAGGCAAGCAGAGAGGGTTTCTGCTCAGCCAATAGGGTTGGCGCATAGGATGTCAGCAAAGCTGGGCGTATGCCTCGCGAACATTCCGTGACGTCATCGAGTTTATATAAAACCTCTGCATCTTCACCGCTCCCCCTTCTAGCTTTAGTCATAGGCACTCTACTATCGGACCTCTGGGTTCTAATCACCATGGCAACCATCACCTCCCTGCGTTCCATCTGCTGCATTGTCAGAGCCCATGCTCGGGCATTCCACGCTACACCCAGCCGGTGAGTAGCCACAGGTCCACTTACCGCCTCCTCTTTTGCTCGCTAAGGGCTGGCTGCCTGCCTGTGCCTGATGGGAAGGACCAGACGTCTAGCGTCTGCCTGCTGTCTACATTATCCATTTTATATAGTTTAATCGTGTGTTATTAGATTAATCATGTATTTAATACCCTATTTCCTCAATCCCATTAATCCTGCCTACTGCGGGTGGTGGTAAAACAGTGCTCTGGACCAGTTATTATAGATTTTTCTTGCTTCTGTAAGCGTTACCCTTATAATATATACTCTATAATATATACTATAAATTATAGGGGTATACAGCCCATAATGAAGACTGTTTTTAGGAAAACGCGCCACCGTGGTCTGTAGTGCCGTACAAGAATAGGCAGACATGACATACAAGGAAACACAGATCTCAGCAAAAAGAAACTGGAGGTGACCTATCCCCTTCCAAAAATAACTTGTGAATAATCTCAGTTCTGTTCTTCACTTTCCCATCAGTATTTTCCATTCTAATTTAACCAGCAGATCACAGCGTAAGGTATAATTCAATGTACTGCGTTTTAGAGAAAACCCTTAATTACACAGAGTTGATTTAGGTAGTCTCATGTTATTTTTTATTTTATTTGTAACACATAGTTATTTCTATGACAGCTTAATGAAATATGTGAAGTTGGATGTCATCCTACGTAGTTGGCTTATATAAGTGCTGTGTGTGTGTGTGTGTTGTGTGTGTGTTGTGTGTGTATACACGTTGTGCAGTGGCATGAAAGGAGCAGTGGTGGATAGAGGAAGTGCAGAGTGGCTGATGAAATCACACTCACTGGTTGCATCTATGTGCCTTACCACTCCCCCTTCCTTCCTCATGAAGGCTTGTTGTGATCTACCCATGACACATTTTATAGGGGGTTTACTCAAGTTTTCCCTCCACACATGCCTGTCAAGTGGCCCATATAGTAATTCCTTTATGGCTTTGCTGTGTATTGTAGGCGGATACAAACTACGCATTTACTTCAGTTTTAATAACCCCAAATTGATCTGCTGAACTCTGAACATATTTTTCAAACTTTATTATCCACAATCATAGTCATTTTTTTTTACTTTATATAAAAAAATTGTAATAAATGTAAAATTTACCTCAAGTCTAATTTGTGCTAATTGTTTTAGACAGTCTTTTTGAGGTGACTTTATCACCCTTGTTACATTTATTTGCTGCCTATAGGTATAGATGCCAGAAAACATTAAAGAGACACTGTAGGCTCTGAAACGGTTTTATCTTATTGAAGCAGTTAAAGGACCACTCTAGGCACCCAGACCACTTCAGCTTAATTAAGTGGTCTGGGTGCCAGGTCCAGCTAGGGTTAACCCATTTTTTCATAAACATAGCAGTTTCAGAGAAACTGCTATGTTTATGAATGGGTTAAGCCTTTTTCTAGTGCATTGACAGCCACTAGAGCGCTTTTCTCACTGTGATTTCACAGTGAGAGCACGCGTCATAGGAAAGCATTATGCTTTCTAGACCGCTGAATGCTGCAGCTTTTGCCGCGCATTCAGCCAACGGGGAGGAGAAGAGGAGGATCGGAGGAGGAGAGCTCTCCGCCCAGCGCTGGAAAAAGGTAAGTTTTAACCCCTTTCCCCCTTCCAGAGCCGGGCGGGAGGGGGTCCCTGAGGGTGGGGGCATCCTCAGGGCACTATAGTGCCAGGAAAACGAGTATGTTTTCCTGGCACTATAGTGGTCCTTTAATGTCTGGAGTACACTGGTGCTTACTCTCCATTCAGTCTTAAACCATTTTTACAGAGTTATTGACTAAAATGAGAATTCTAAGGTAATTAAAAGTAAATTTCAAAATTAAAAAGTAACTGTCATGGTACTTTTCATGTTGCATAATAGCTAGACAATGTAAAGATTTTGCAATAAATTGCAATGAAATAGTGGTTCAACTGTCAGTTAATGCCAATGTATGTCTGCAAGGAAACACGCCGTCAGGCTGATTTCTGCTCAGACTCTAGCTCTACAGCGCTCATGCCACCCCCACACACAAACCAGCAACTTCAATTGGAAAGGAGAAAGGTGGTTTTAACACTATAGGGTCAGGAACACAAACCTGTATTCCTGGTCCTATAGTGTTAAAACCACCATTTAGCGTTCCTTACCCCCATAAATATAGTAAAAACTTACTTTTGTTAAAGTCTGCAGCTGTTGGCTGTGCCCCTCATCTGCCTGCTTCGCTGACATTATCAGAAGTGATTCTCTGAGCCAATCACAATGCTTTCCCATAAGATTGGCTGAGACTGTCAGGGAGGCAGATCAGGGGCAGAGCCAGCACAAGCCAAACATAGCCCTCCTTAGCATCTCCTCATAGATACATTAAATCAATGCATCTCTATGAGGGAAGTTCAGTGCCTGGATGCAGAGAGTTGAGACATTGAATGCCAGTGCTGCTTACTGTGCAGCACTGCCCCCTGAAGCACCTCTACTAGCCATCTGAGGAGTGGCCAGTGTAGGTATCCCTAGGCTGTATTGTAAACATTGAATTTTCTCTGAGTAAAACAGTGTTTACAGCAAAAAGCCTGAAGGGAATGATTCTACTCACCAGAACAAATACAATAAGCTGTAGTTGTTCTGGTCACTATAGTGTCCCTTTAAAGGAGCATTATAATGTTAAGAGTACATGTTTGTATACAGTTCTCTAGTACCTACATTTCCAATCCTACCAATAAAATAAAAAAAAAGTATAACATACCTTATTTCCCCTGGCGTGTGCCTTTCTCCATGCAGTCTCCCCATGTATAAGCATCAGGAGGCTAGTGTGCATATAAGACAAATTGCCGCACTGTGCCAGTCAGCATATCATCATACAGATGCACTGAGTCCGTGCATCTCTATGGGGAGTGTTAAGCATTTCCATGCTGAGACGCTGAACAAAAGCCCCCAACAGTGACTCCTCCGGGGGTTGCAGAGCAAGGTGAATTTTATGCACATGAATGTCCCTTGAAACCAGCACCATAGTCTTTTTGCTGGTTTGCTTCAGCTCCGGCCCTTTATGTGCGAGGAAGCCATTGTCATTATTGTAGTTTCATACATGCGTTCAAGTACAACACTGAGGTCTATGGAAGATCCTGTGAGACCGTAGGATCCTCCATAGACCATGTCTGTTTCCTTGCAGCCGTTGACAGAGTAAGAGGTAAGACCTAGAGCAAATGCATTTTGTGTACTGACTGAAATTAAGAAAGGTGCCAAATAAACATTTATTTTTTTCGGAATGTGTTGGGAATCTCTCAGACTGGGATGTGTGGTGGGGGGCTGCAGAAATAAAGTAGCTTAACACCTAAATGACCGACAACAGAGAAGTGAGAATGCAGGGGCATGGTTAAGCTAAATTGGTTTTGTGAAATCTGTTTGTTTGGGTTGACAGACAAAAGTTGAGGACATGTGGGAAGGACTGGGCAAATGTTGGCATCTAAGGGTGTTGGTGTAAGCAAAAGGTATTGTATTATGGGGAATGGGGATCAAAGAATATGTATGATTTATTGAGGCTGAGTGCAGGGAACAGATGGTGAAGCAGGATGTGAGGATGAGAACTAGTGTTGCCAATGGCAGCTAAAGTAAAGTTTAAGCTACCGTGATCTTCATCAGTCAGTGGAGAGGTTCAAGAGAGAACTGGAATATATTATCCTTATACTAAATACAGTGACAAATCTGTGTAAACCAGCAGGCCTTTCCATTAATCTACAAATCAGGTGGCAATCTGGTTAGTGTTTTGTTCTACACAAAGGATAAGGGGGTAATTGAGTAGCATAACCAGACAAAGGTAAACAAAAGTAGCCTATACACAACAGAAAATTACAGAAAGTTCAGAGTAAGGTATTTCATTACAGGCTATTCATCTGGTCACATTTTACAATGTTTGCTGAGGTTATTTGTTAAATCACTTATTTTTTTTCTCTTTTTTTAAACCGAAGTTGTTAATCATTAGTTTCCACGTGCCTTAATCGCAAAATAATATTGATACCTTGCCTAAACAGCATGATTTGATATAATATGCCAGTACTATGTTGTCTCGTCAGAAGACCCACATTTCCCGAGATATTGTCTTGCTGTTTTCTAACCTGTGTATTACAGTGGAACTTATTTGAGGAAGCTATGAACATTCAGAATCTGCTCAGACTGTGGCCAAAATATTTGAAAAAAAATAACATTCAATTAAATATCAGGTATTTTACAAATGAAATGAATAAAATACATTGTGAAATTTAAAGGGACATTATAGGCACCCAGACCACTTCAGCTCATTGAAGTGGTCTGGATGCAGTGTCCCAGGTCCCTTAACTCTGCAAAGCTAATTACTGCAGTTTTTTTTGTGTACTGCAATAGTTAGCTTTGACGATTACTCCACCTTTAGTGGCTGTCTATCAGACAGCCACTAAAGGTACTTCCGGGCTGTTAGGCGACTTTTGGTTGCCTAACTGACTCTCGGTGTCCTCATGCTATGCAGTGGAGGAGAGCAGGTGGACCCGAACCAGTGCAGAGGGACTAAAGCGCTGGACCTGGGTAAGTGACAGAAGGTTTTTTTAATCCATTCTGCATCACTGGGAGGGTGCCTTGACAAAGGGGGAAGCTATAGTGCCAGGAAAACTTTTTTTTTATTTTTTATTTCCTGGCACTAAAGTTTATCTTTAATTCTCCTCTACTTGTATGCTCATAGGTTAAAAAACAGACTGTTTATTTAGTTAACCACTTCACACCACATGCATCCACAGGAATGATGTATACATGAGGTTTAACACTCAAATGACTTTTGTTTGCAAAGTCTGTCCTTAGTAGGACGGCCACTATGTCACTGGCAATATAAAGACTGCCAGGGATGTTGCATGCTGAGCTGCTGTGGGGAGAACAGGGAGGGAAGGATTCAGAGGCTGGGCTTGAGCATCAGCAGAAGCAGATGGAGAAGAGCAGCAATTAAAGTCAAAGCAAGGAGTCAGGTAAGTATTTACTTGCAAGTTTGGAGGGGGCGGGGGGGTTTCAAGAAGTCATGTAAAAGGGTGGGGGGCATAAAACATATATGAGTTTGGACACGGTAAGTATGTGTGTCCCTGTGTGTCAGTGTTTTTGCATGTATCAGTGTCCAAAGATGGAACTTGTCAGCAATATGCCCAAGGTATGCAATATACTCTGGGCACATATATATCTATCTCTACACACACATAGTGTGGGAATAATCTCAGTAAATGTTTTCTTTACAGTGCTGTTTTCAAATATGTAGCTTGAATTTTTATTTTTTATTCCATTAAATAATGTGTGACCTATGAAACTACCGTATATATTAGAGTATAAGTCGGCCCGAATATAAGCCGAGGCCCCTAATTTTAGCACAAAAAAATGGGAAAACTTATTGACTCGAGTATAAGCCTAGGGTGGGAAATGCAGCAGCTACTGGTAAATTTTTAAATAAAATTACATCCCCAAAAAATTATATGAATTGAATATTTATTTACAGTGTGTGTGTATATAATGAATGCAGAGTTTGTGTGTGTGTGTGTGTGTGTGTGTATATAATGAATGTAGAGTGTGTGTGTGTGTGTGTGTGTGTGTATATAATGAATGTAGTGTGTGTGTGTGTGTATATAATGAATGCAGAATGTGTGTTTGTGTGAATGCTATGTGTGTGTATATAATGAATGCAGTAGGTATATATAATGCAGAGTGTGTTCATTATATATACACATTATATATACACACACACACTCTGTGTGTGTATATAATGCAGAGTGTGTAAATTGGGTGGGGGGAGGGCATTTTTATTATTTTAAATTTTTAAAAATATTTTTTAAATATTTATTTATTTATTTTTACCTTCTCCCCCCACCCCCTCTCCCTGCTTGTTGCCTGGCCAGGAAGGGGGGGCTATAACATTCCCTGGTGATCCAGTGGGGGGCCGGAGCGAGCTATTGCTTACCTTTACAGTCGCTCCGTGCAGCTCCCCCGTTCAGCTCACAGTGTAAGTCTCGCGGTCTGCGTGCCGCGTGGAACGTTGCCACGGTAACCCGTGGCAACGCTCTGACGGCCGCGCGTCTCGTGAGACTTACACTGTGAGCTGAACGGGGGAGCTGCGCAGAGCGGCTGTAAAGGTAAGTAACAGCTCACTCCAGCCCCCAACAGGACCGCCGGCTGTCCTGGTCTGTATTATGGCAATGTAAGTTGCCATAATACAGACCGTGACTAGAGTATAAGCCGAGGGGGGCCTTTTCAGCATAACAAAATGTGCCGAACAATTCTGCTTATACTAGAGTATATACGGTAAATTACATACGGAATTTAAAAATACATTTAAACTTCACTTTAGGACATTCAGAGTACTTGGATTCCTGGATTGGGTATGTTTATTTTTTTGGCAAGCTGCTTGGTAGTGAAAGGGTTAAAGGGATTCTATAGTGTAAGGAATACATTATAGTGCCATTTTTTTCCCTCTTTCTGCTGGTGCATAGGATAGGGGGTATTGTCTGTGGTGTTCCAGGTCTAGTGAAGGAATTGGGTATTGTATGTTTAATAAGCTTATAACGTGCTTAGGACTATAGGTTTAACGTCCTTACTAACACAGAGAACTTTATAACTTTCCGTCGAGTGCCTAAACAGTCATATCCCCAATTCCGGCTGTTTGATTACCCAAGCTCTTAGTGGATTTGACAGCCTTCTGAGTTATGTTTAGGTTTGATTCATTCTGAATGACTCAGTAAACCTGTCTTTTTAAAGGTGTTTAGTATGGAATAAAATAGTGCACATTCATACTGACCAGTATTATTGGGGCAGTGGCAGCCACTCCTTGACTGCAATGCTGGTGGTTACCACTCTGCAGTGAGCTGTACGTGACACTGCATGTGTCTTTATAATAGAGCTATGTCACTTTACTTCACTTTGACTTAAACCCAAGCCACCTGTGTGAAAACTCCTTACAGTAGTGCCAAATAAATGTACAGTGGTTTGCTCTTTTAGTGCATTTTACAGACTTTACGTTCACTGTTTCAGACATGGAGTATTTTGTTTTTCTCTCTTTATATTTCATGCGATAATAGTGTACGGTAGCTTTAAAATGGTCTTATTCTTTCTAATATCACAAGGTCCCCAGTGGTGACCCTCTTCAGTGACAGTCATGTCAGTTTGGGTTTTTACTTCCAGTTTAATATTGGATTCAAAAACTTTGCCAAATAATCTAATACATCTTGCAGCCATTTCAATTAACATATCAACAAATCTACATCTTTAAGTTTTTAAGCCCTTTAATGTTTGGTCCCCCCCCCACCTGTTGATCAGTTCTTGGCATTAGACCTTGGCATATACAGGCCTAAGACTGAGTGACAGGGAGAGAATGAGAACCCTTCCAAAGGTGGTTCAACTGCTCTCTGCTACTCCACCAGTAAGTTTCTCGCACATCGAGGGCAACTCATCCCAATGTACTGGCTGTAAGCCAGCAAGTTGTTGTCATCAGGAAAGGTTTGCTCTGCTTGTCGTGAGTCCCCATGCTGGGCTAGTGACAGCAGAGTGAGACAGTAGTAGAAGGTGGGTTTTACAACAGCAGAATACCCACAGACATTGAAGAATGGTAACTTCCAAAGCATAGAAATACCAGTTAAAGTCTCAAAAATGAACTGCCTTGGGAGCTGTCATGTGTTGGTGAACATGTCATGAAAGGAACACTTAACAAAATGGGTAACTGGCTATGTATATAACACTACATTGTCGGGAAACTTAATAAAAAAAGTAATTTCTGCAGGATCATACATGGTCATTCACACTCGAGCATTTGCACTCAGGCGCTATGAGCTCCACCGACTAATATTTACTGTAAATTACTGTATTGGATCCTGGTTCTGGAAACTGCTAACCTTGGTTGTATAATTCCTCTGGGTCTGGTTTTAAAATGTTTGTTTAGTAGAATGTGTTTGCATTTGTTATCTTTCTGCTACTGTCCAAATTATCTTTGGAAGGCCAGTGGGTTTGTTATATAACATCTATTGATTGTGTGCTGGGCAAAAAACCCAGTGTCATTGGAGCAGGGGAGTTCTTGGAGTTCACTCAGTCTGCCATTTAGAGTTATGTAAGAATGACAAGATTGATTTTTACCATCTGTCTTGTAATTGGATATAAATGTGCATTGTGGAAGAGGGACTTGGTAATTAGCGAACACTCACATGTTTAGAGTGGATGATTGAAAGCCTGTGTGGCATGTTATTGACTTCTCAAGGTTTGCAAAAAAGCTAAATAAGAATTTAACAATATTTCAATTATTGTCAGAATTTTTTCAAGAAGTTTATAAAGAAACACTTTTCAATGCCACGAGGACATCAAATTATAGTTTTGTTTAGATTGGGCAAATTATTTTGTATATTTTTGACATATAAACTTTGTACAGTAGTTCAAATTTGTTGGCTACCTAATTTAAGTATGCCATATAAACTGTTAGGTCTAGTAACATGCAGCAGTCACACTGGCAGCTCAGTCTATTATTAGTTTGTGCCTTCGATAAGCATTCCCATACCTAGAATGGGCTGGTGGAGAGGAGTTCAGAATGCTGAGTGGACATTTGATAACTGTCATATCTTATACTGAACTAAATTTGTCTGTCTGAAAATAGCATGGTGAAAAAACATCAATAAAATCCATATTTTCTTATTTCTTGAATGCAATGCCACTGCAGATACTAGCACTCTATTTTCTACCTAGTTATACATTTCCTGGATAGTTCTTGCCACAAACATTTCTGAAATCGCTTTGTGAATTTCTTAACTCTTTTTGAAAAGGAATGCCATGAACTCATTTGCCCCTACAGTGCAGTTAGTCCTCACCTCATTCATGACGACAAGTCTACCTTAATTAGAAATTGTTTTAGCAAAGTTTAAATCTACATAATTTTTACAAATATTTTACAAATATGTTTAGCTCTTCTTCTTTGAGCCAATAGATGTTTGCTCTGTTCTCTCCAGTGCCAGTCTTTTAATTTCATACTTTATGTAGGTGCTTCACCTTGATATAGCTGTGTTATTAAGTTGACAGGTTATCTGATTACTTCCTTGTGTCTTGTCTGTGCAGGAATGAAGCCGTTATCATATCAGGAAGGAAGCTAGCCAGGCAGATACGGATGGAGGCTCGGCATGAAGTTGAGCAGTGGGTGGCTGCCGGCAACAAAAGACCACACCTGAGTGTAGTTCTTGTTGGAGACAATCCTGCCAGTCATTCCTATGTTCTGAACAAGACCAAAGCTGCTGCCGATGTGGGTATGTATACAGTTTTCTGTATATTAGCGGCTGTTTACAATAGTTTTCTGGGGCTGTGATATGTAAAAAAAAAAAAGTCTTTAAACACATCATTGGCCATTCTGTTATTTTAGTTCACACTTTGATTTCTTTAAGGATCACCTACAGCAGAGGTGTTGGACTGCAATATTCCCCAGGATATTATTGAAGTGCTATTGCTGTCAGAGTTCAGGTGTAGTCCAGTTATTGAATAGTGCAGAGTCTGAACCATGCATCTGGTTTGTGT